CGGCTAATTGGGAAGAGGCAGCACAGGAGATGTTAATTGTATAGAGACCCAGCAGACAATCTCCTTTGCAGAGAAGTTCCTCCTGCTTGCAGGAGTCTTTAATTAATTATATCAATCAATCAAAGGACCCCCATTTGGGAACTGCTGCCTTGACAGGCATGAGAGACAGACACTTGCTTTTAAGAGCAGCAGCCAAGGAGAGGATCCCCCAGGCTCCCAGTTTCACACCTGACGCCACACAAAGCTGCCTTTGGAGCTTGACAGAAGATGAATCACTCTGTTTGAGGGTGACAAGGTGCGAAGGAAGACAAATCCCCCCCCCCCAAAAGGGAATCTTGGCAGGAGCCTCTTGTCATGTCACTGTGCTGTCGAGGTTAAAAGAGCTGCACCGGGTGAATTCCCTCTTCTGTACACTGGGTGAGAATATAGAAGCTCCGTCCTCTGTGGCATGTGTTTGTCCAGGTCTGCTTGGGTAGTGGACGGGCCATGCTCAGCAATTCAGTGCATGTTTTTTCAAGCTGAATGTTCCAGGTTCAATCCCTGGAACCGCCAGTAAAAAGGAGGGCCTAGCTACATAATGCCCTGACCGGAATGGCCCACGATAGCCCAGTCTTGTCAGATCTTAGAGGGTAAGCAGAGTCAGCTGGTATTTAGATGGGAGACCACCTAGGTCAGTGATCAGGAAGGAGGGCTCCAGAGCAAACTAATCTATGCAGTAGACAAACCGCTTGCTCACAATTTTAATGCCAGGAGCTCACAAAGGAGAATTTTTGCTCACACGAATCCACAGCTTAGAGGGAACATTGGGGCCCAGGATAGCCCAGTCTAGTCAGATCTCAGAGGGTAAGCAGAGTCAGCTGGTATTTAGATGGGAGACCACCTAGGTGGTTACACATTGCCATGCAAAGGCAAGCAATGGCAAATCTTTTCTCCCTTTCTCACAATACAAGAACTCGTGGGCACTCCATGAAATTGCTGAGCGGTCGGGTTAGAACGGATAAAAGGAAGTACTTCTTCACCCAAAGAGTGATTAACACTTGGAATTCACTGCCACAGGAAGTGGTGGCGGCTACAAGCATGGACGACTTCAAAAGGGAATTAGATAAGCATATGGAGCAGAGGTCCATCAGTGGCTATTAGCCACAAGGTATAGGTAGGGACTCTGGGGCAAGTGATGCTCTGTCATCTTGGTGCTTGGGGGGGTCAACAGTGGGAGGGCTTCTAATGTCCTGGCCCCACTGGTGGACCTCCTGATGGCACTGGTATTTCTGGCCACTGTGTGATACAGAGTGTTGGACTGGATGGGCCTTTGGCCTGATCCAACATTGGCATCTCTTATGTTCTTATGTTAACCATCTCTGTTCATCGCTTGCCTTGAAAATCTTATGGGGTCGTCATAAGATGGCTGTGACTTGGTGGCATTTTCCACCACCACCTACATCCCTGGGTCAGGTTTAGGGAAGGGAACGAATCAGCTCACAAACTACAGTTCATCACGAATTTTGGCCACTTTGTGGATCACAAGGCGATGTTCACAAAATGAAGAGCCACTATGAATGTCCATGAATTTTAAGGCAGTTCATAGTGGTTCACGAAGGGCTTTCTGGTCTTCACAAAAAACAGCTGAGTGGTAGGGAAGCAGAAAGCAGGGGTTTAAATGGCTTGTCATTTAAACCCTGCTTTCTTGCTCTCTGTCCATCAGATTTGAGCCCCATGAAAAGCAGCAGGGAGCAGAAAGGTGTCATGAACCGATACAAACTGGTTCAGTTTACAAAGGTACTGGTTTGTGGTTCAGCCACGAAACAAACCGGTGCCCATCTCTACTCAGGTTAACAGATAAGAAGAACCCTGTTGGATCACAAGTGGTCCATCTAGTCTAGCGTCCTGTCTCACACAGTGGCCAACTAGTTCCTCTGGAGGGCCAACAACAGGGCATAGAGGCGGAGACCTTCCCCATATGTTGCCTCCTGGCTCTGGGATTCAGAGTTGAACTGCCTCTGAACATGGACGTTCCCTTCAGTCACTATGGCTAGTAATCACTGATCATCACTCCATCAATCTGCCTTTTAAAGCGGTCCCTCCCTGTGGTCATCACTACCTCCTCTGGCAGCCAATTCCGCATTTCAATCACTCCCTGTGTAAAGAAGTGTTTCCTTTTGTTTGTCCTGAAAGTCCCATTTTCTCAGGTAAGTGCAACTCTGTAAGACCATTTAATGTTGAAAAAATGGGGGGAAGGCTGCAGTCCCAGCCCAGATCCGGGGGCCCCATGTGCCTCGCATGCATGGAACTCCCTGACCATAACTGTCTACTGGCCCTGGGGGAGCTCAGGCCTCTGGTAGTGGGAGCTGGAAGGAAATTTTCTCTTCCCCAGACTCCTAGCAGCCAGAGCCAGTGAAGGATAGGCTGCTCCAAATTTGAGGGCTCAACAGTCTTAAAAATCAGAATAACGTAAGTATCATGCATTGAAGAGTTGAAATTAGGGTTGCCAATCTCCAGGTGGTGGCTGGAGATCTCCCGGGATTACTGCTGTTCTCCAAGCAACAGAGATTAGTTTACCTGCAAAAAATGGCTGGTTTGGAAGGTGAACTCTATGGCATTACACCCCACTGAAGTCCTCCCCTCCTCAGGCTCCCCCCTCAGAGTCTCCAGGTATTTCCCAACCTGGAGCTGGCATCCCCAGTTGAAACCGTTCCTCTCTCTCAGAAACTGAATTTGTTCTTCGCAGAAATGAAGGAAGCTGACCCCAAACAGTTTATTGTATCATTGCTCCTTTATTTTATACATATATTTTTATTATTTATTTGCATATATAAAACGCAACACTCACAAAAAACAGCACCACATTGAACGTGAAACCGGCAGAAGAAAAAGCCTATATTTTGGTTGGCTCTACATGACATCTAGAAGGCATATGAAAACAGAAACGGTATTTTAAAAAAAAAATACATAGACATCAACTCTAGCGCTCAGTAGAAAAAGGAGAGCAACGTTTGGCAAGGGTATCGTGTGGGGGGGGGAGACACTGTCTCCACCGTCAAGTCCCCCTAGGATGATGACTTTTTAAAAGAAATTACTGGAATGAAAAGTCCAACATTTTGTTGAACACATGTTTTCAATTGCGTTAGTTTATTAGCAAGGGGGGGGGAAGCAGATTTCTTTTGGACACCAGAGGCCAGCAAAGGGTTTAGCTCTTCTTTTTACTATAAAGGTGTCTCGCAAAAATTAAAGACACAGTTCCTTTTAATTAACCACGTTTCACTGTAATACATGGAACACATGTCCTTTAAGAACCACAAGAGCAAAGATTTTTAAATCTAAGTAGTTTCAAGCCGGATGGTGTTTTTCAGTGTGGCAGGGGCACATCACTGGCCATTGAGGCCTGAAAACTGATGAGTTTCTTTTTAACCTCCAATAAAATACTGTTTTATTTTGCTTGTCTTTGTAAATTAAGATATTACAATGCGTTAACTGCATCCACATATAGGGTTGGATCCTTCAGCTAAACTGAAGATCCTATAACTCTGTTTTGTTCAGCCTTTCTGCAAGTGAGAAAGATTTCTTCCAATGGAGACAGACTTTTTTTATGGGAAAAAAGTCTGTTTGTTGAAGGAAGTCTCTCTTGGGACAAAGACTTGGTAGAAACAAGATGGAAGATCCAACCTATATTATTATGGAGCTTGTACAAAAAGCTTCTGGTAAGGAAGACCCACAAAGCTGATAAGAAATATTTTAAAAATCCTCCATAACAAATATTTTGAAGGTTTCCTCTAACAAAAAACTCTTCCTCAAGGTGGCAAAGGAAACCTATTGAAACCTAGCCCTGTTAACACTGCTTCTATATAGTCCCCATCCGTTTCAGCAAGGCTTGAATGGAAGAAGTGCCATAGCAAATTATCCCTTTGGATCTGAGACATCAACAAGTAGATATCTTCATTGCATTCATGAATGGCTAAGAAGTATATTCGGTACAGAAAGGAAAACATAGCTCTTTTGCACAGTGTGAAGATAAACTCAATGCTTTTAAAATCTCTAACATGAAAGCAATTTGTTTTTACTACTAAACAAATATATTCATATACTCCACTCTCCCTTCCGAGGCCGCTCGGAAGACCCCGGCATCCACCAGGCCCTCTCGACCCAACCTTGGGTCCCCTGACATTTGGGAACAGGAAAGCTTGGAGGAGACTTCTCATGCACGCATCTGTATTAAGGCAGAGACCTCCCCCCCGCCCACCAAGCAGACTGGCAGAAACACAACAAGCTGGCAGACTGGGCAGAGAGCGGTCCTAAGGGCCAGAAGCATGTGGTGGCAGGCACAAACACGGGGGAGATGGGGCCACCCATGAACTGGGCAACAGACGTGCAAGGGAGGTCCAAGAAAGGATACATTCAAAAAACGAAGTGCTTTGGAGTGTGAGGAAAGGCGTGCCCTGCAGCAAGGGGCTCCCTCCCACACGCAAGGCTAGGGCTTCCTGCTGGAACGGGCACACACACCCTTCCACCAAGAAGTCTTTTCGCCCCTGAATCTTGAAGCTCTTAGCTGGTGGCCTTTAAGGATGGCCACAAGATACACATCCTGAATGTTTAGGGAAGGACAAGGCGGAGGACGCTGCTGGGCAACAGGCAAAAGGAAAGGATGAGGGTCCAAAGCAACACCATTGAACAGGTGACAAATGGCAGGCAAAAAGAGGACGGGAATGAGAGCCAAGGAGCAATCAGCTAGCGCCCTCACTGCAGCTACCTCAGTCCATAGATTGCAGGCCTACCCCAGTCTATACATTAACTGTGGGTAGGATTCTTTGTTTTCAGGTTTAATTCCTTGGGATTTGAGAGGGTACTGCAAAAAATGAGAGGAACAAGCTAACGGCAGGTGGTGAAACCAGAAAGCTGCATTGAGAAGGTTGGGAAGAAGGGATGAGAAAAAGAAAAAAGGATAAGTGTAGACATAGAAGGGGGGGGGGGAAGAATAGAAAGTTTGATGCCCAAAAGAGAGAAAAATGTGAAAACAGAAGGGGGGGGGGAACAGGACCAAAACACTTTTATTCCCTTCCCTTTCTGTTTTAATTCCTCCCTCCAGACCCTTTCTGTCCAGCTGCTCACTGCCTCCTGCACCCGTCTATCCCTGGATGAATATCAGCCGTGCGGAATACACCAGGTCAGCAAGGTACACCAGCAGATTGAGGGCTGTCAGGACGGCTATGGTGACATATTTGTCCCAGTCGCAGAACTGGCTCCCAGAACAATATCGATCGGGGGTTCCGCCGTGCTTCCTGTCGAAATGATAGATGGGCCAAATGACGGTGGCTGTGGCGTACATGAGCACGGCCAAGAGGGTGTAAGCGCTGAGGAACGTGTTGAAGGCACACGGCAGCCAGCCGGTGCATTCGCCGATGCAAAGGATGATGACCACCAGGGAGAGGATGAAACAGATGCAGTAGACGGCCAAGCACCACTTGAGCGCATCCTCCCTTTCGTAATCGTTCCTGTTGAGGAAGACGAAGATGATGCAGGCAATGAAGGTCTCCACCACCTTGAGAAGCCCAGGAACTGTGGCCATGTAGCCCGTGACTTCTCCTGGCTTGGCTTTGGTCATGGTGACCTCGGTGGAGTAGGCCAGGCAGGCCAGGCAAGAGAAGACCGTGGCAGCGATGCGGTACCCACGCTGTTCGCGAGAGGCGGGGTACCCCTTCTGAAGATAGGCCACTGGGAAGATGATCGAGGCGGAAAGGCACAGCAAGGTGGCGTACATGGCAAACGTGATGGGGAAATTCCTCCAGGAGACCGGCACCCGATGCTGAAGGCCGACAAACTCCACCACCAAGATGATGATGGTGATGGCGAAGCAGAAACACCACGCGAACATGCACCAGTCCCCATAATTTTGATGATCTCGGAGTGTGTAGCCCTCATGGGCCACCAGGCTGAAGGCCACACAGGTGAAGATGGCTTCCAAGATACGGATGATGCCCAGCCGAGAAGTCAGGGCGCTGGTGTTGCCCACGGATTTAGAACGGGTGACCGGCATGGTTGGAAGAGCTGGAGAAAGAGAGACACGCAAGACATTGAGACAGAGAAGTCTGGCCTAGCAAACGACATGCTTAACTTGGTTGTGGAAGAGCCAACCTTTACCCAGGATCAAAACGGACAAGAAACAAGGAGATCCGTGGTTGGATCTTCCCTCTTTTAAAACAGTTTTGGCCATGAGGGACCTCAGTTTTGATCAGAGCCACGTGAGGATTTAATTCTTTTACCCTTCTCATGGTTTCATTTGTCAAAACTGTCCACCCACCTTTAATTTTAAAAAGGGCAAAAAATTGGGCAAAACAACCCCCAAAACTGGGCAAACCCCAAGGCACTGGAGGAGCATATAGCTTTAAGAGGTGAAACCATACTGGGGTGGAAGATCCTTTTGTCTCTTCCCTGTAAATCCAATTTGACTTTATAAGACAGTAGGAGGAAATGACCATGGGTCTCCCACTGTGTCATCTGTCCCGATCCTTAATTGTAACATTGTTGGTTCACCTTTTATGCTACTCTTGCTCAGGCCAATCTATGGAACAGCAAGAGGTCTACAGCCAACACAGGGTCTCTTCTCCCCAGTACAAGGACTCTGAGTCGCTCACGGAAGTTCACTGTCGGTGCAATCAGCAGAGGAAAAAAGGAAGTAGGATTTGCTTGTACGGATTTGCTTGTACAATGATGTGAGGATGGCAACCCATTCACACAGCTGTATAAAAAGGATTATAAAGATCCCAGTTCTTGCAATAACAACAAAAGAAGACAACTTCATAGAGGATGAGACTTTCAAGAGCTATTAGCAATCCTTGCTAAATGGAATCTCCAGACACAGAGGCAGTATATCTCTGAAAACTATATGCTAGTCAGAGAAAGGCCCCTCAGCCCTTCATATATCCTTCTTTAAGCTTCCCAGAGTAACTAGCCTCTTTCTGAAGCAGCATGTGCTAGGCCTTGGACTGATCCAGCAAGGGTAATTCTTTGGATTCCTAGGTTATAAAAATACATGGGATAATGTACAGAGAGCTGGAAAGCTCTGAAACAAATTCTGAGTCATCACCAGCGGAGATTTTTAAATTCTTGTGCTTCCAACCAGATGGGGAGATGGAAGATCTACAATCGGATCTGCAGCACATTCCCCTTGGCAAATAGCAGCTGTTGGAAGCCTCCATTTGGATCCAGACAGTGATATACATGCTGCATCAATCACCCCCCCCACACACACACACACAAACACACTTTCCCTGATGTCTGGCTTATACAGAGCTGCTATTTGCCCTGTTGGGGGAAACATACTGGTTTATTATATTTGTTCAATTTTTATTCCACCCTTCCTCCAAACCTCAGTATGACATACATATTTGATGGTGGTTCTCTCTCCTCTTGTGAGTTCCTTATCCCCATTACTTTCTTCCAACAACGCTGTGAGCTGCATTGGGCCAACTGCTCTCTCTTTAAGGTCACCCATGGCTGAATGCGGATTTGAACTGGCGTCTTCCCCAATCCTAGTCCACACCTCCACAGTGGTTCTGTAACAGTTCTGGGGTGGGGCTGTGGCTCAGTTGAAGGGCCTCTACTTGATGTACAGAAGGTCCCAGGTTCAATCCCCGGCATCTCTGGTTCGAAAGGACTTAGCAGGAGGTGACGTGAAAGACCCTGGAACCCTGGAAGAGCTGCTGCCAGTCTCAGCAGTAAATATGGAACTGTGGGTGTCACCAGTAGAGCAGCCAAGTTGGGAAATATCTGGAGGATTTGGGGGTGCAGCCCGAGGAGGGTAGGGCTAGGGGAGGGAAAGGGCTTCAATGGGGTACAAGGCTACAGAGTCCACCTTCCAGAATAGCCGTTTTCTCCAGGGGAACTGATCTCTGCTACCTGGAGATCAGATGCAATGCTGGGAGATCTTCAGCCACCACCTGGAGACTGTGAAACAGTAAATCACCGTGTACAATTAAACAATATTTGTTGGTTTTTATATACAATGTTGAGAATTAAATTATTTACAATAACACATCAAAACAATAACACATCAAAAATTGTATAAGAATTAGCATTTTGAAATATGGCTTGCAGCGCTTCATTCTAATGAAGAAATAAGTACAGAATGACAAACCTGATGAAGGACACACAAACGGATCATGTACTAGAGCTCCGTCGTTTGTCTGTAACTAGTACTGCATTACTTTGTATGTACTGCTAAGCTTTATATCACATATTGTAGTGTTATTGTTAATAATTGAATTCTCAACATTGCATATAAAAACCAACAAATATTTTTTAGTTGTACACGGCGATTTACTGTTTCACTGGCTATTACACACCGTGGTCCTGTTTGTTGTAATACCCCCTGTAGACTGGCAACCCTAGTCACTAGGAACAAAATCCAGTTCTATAAACATTCACAGAAGGAAATCTGAATTCCAACCATCCAGACGCCTGGCCAGATAACAGGGTTGGAACTAAACACTTGCTCAATCAGCGGTGGCAAAACATAAGGGGAAAATACCTGCAGGATATCAGGGAGGGACGCTCCTGTAAATGACAAGGGAATGGATGTGGTGTTTTCGCTTGATTGTTCTAGGCCACTGCTGTGTCACAAATATGACTAAAATGGGTATGTATGGGCAGGGCTTTTTTTTTTTTAAAGAGATGCTGAAACTCTCAAGAGGGAAAATGAAGTTTTCAACCTGTATACTGAAAACCCGTTAACTTTTAGACATTTTTAAAAGGATTTTGCTAAATCAAATAAAAATATTAATTAAAATATTAATTAAAAAAGGGGGGGTAAGGATTTTGGTGAAGAGGTTCCAGCGCTCCATTCTGGCATATTCTCCAGGGGGGAAAAGCCCCGTGTACAGGCACACTGGCTAGAAACTGTTGCTGACTTGTTGACAACCCAAATACCAGGATGTGGGAACAGACTCAAGATATGCACACAAGGTGGTAACGCTGTATCTCCTCATGCTTAAGGGCAAGGCAAGGCAACAGTTTTGCCAGCTGCTGCTGCAAATGCACAGGAAGTTCAACGGGAAGTCACTCAGACAAGGGACAGTTCCTAGCGCATGGGCCTGCTACAGTCCCCACCGCGTCACCCGTTCTGATCCCAGTAGTCTGTTGAAACATAGCAACAATCATGGTGAAGTTAACTGGAGGACTTTGTCTGGTTTACGTATATCAAGCACACAGCCTCGCACCTGATACAGAGCCTCCTACAAAAGGAGGTGGGAAAGGTAACTCAGGATTCATCTATTTCCTTCATTTATTCCCCCACCTTTCTAGGGCTGGATAACATGAAGCTGCTTTATACTGCTGAATCAGACCCTTTGTCCATCAGAGTCAGTATCGTCTTTCAAGACTGGCAGCGGCTCTTCAGAGGAACTGAAGCCTAGAGATGAGCTGTAATTCCAGGGGATCCAAACATCCCACCTGGAGGCTGGCTTCCCTAGCCACAGCCTCTCCCTTACTTGATCCCACCACCCCTTTCACTGGCAAAAAGAGAACGCCAAGGGACCCCTTTTGACCACTTGAAAAGCTAGGCCGGGGTTTGTGGGACCTAGCCAGGGACTGCGGTGAGTAGAGTCAGGGGTCATTTCCTGCAGGAGCGCACAGGAGCGGAGCTCCGGCAGTAAAGAGCCCAGGGGGTGGGCACAAGCAACAAGCCCCGCCCCCTGCTCCCAGCAGCCCTCAGTCAGAACAAGAAGCAGCCAGGTAAGTTGCAGAGCCCCCCCCCCGGTCCCCCAGTCCAAAACAGTCCAGTGGCACCTTTAAGACCAAGTTTTATTCAGGTTCAAGCTCTCCCTCCTCTGTGAGGACAGATCTGCACGTCCCCCCTCCCCAATAGCTAGCAATCCAAAACAGTCCAGTGGAGCCTGAGCGGTGGGTGTTGCTTTCTGACACACTTCCAGTGATGTCAGGGGGTGTGGCATATGCTAATGAGTTATGCTGAGTTATGCTAATGAGCTCCTGCACCTCTTTTTCTACGAAATGACCCCTGAGTAGAGTAATCGAGTCAGATCAGAGAGGAAGAGCTGAAGGCTCCCATTCACAGAGGGAACATCCAAGACAGTTACTCTATCCCAGACATTAGTCCTCTCATTCTATTAGTGGCCATTGGAGGAGGAAGAGGAGGAGGAGAAGAATAAGAATAGGAGATTGGATTTATACTCAGCTCTTCACCTGGAGTCTCAGAGCAGCTTACAATCTCCTTTCCCTTCCTCTCCCCACAACAGACACCCTGTGAGGTAGGTGGGGCTGAGAGAGCTCCTTCGAGGACTGCTCTTGAGAGAACAGATCTGGGAGAACTGTGGCTTGCCCAAGGTCACCCAGCAGCTGCATGTGGAAGCGTTGGGAATCAAACCCTGTTATCCCAGATTAGAGTCCGCACTCTACTACACCACTACACCAAACAGCAAAGCGCTCACTGTCTCAGCACTTTTGATATGGTCTTTTAGAGAATACAGGGCACAGGAAGGTCCATGGCCTTGCTGAGAGAATGCTCTGGTGTGTGTGCCCTGTCTCTTATGGATTAAGGTGGACCACACAGGGTGACATTAAAACAGAAATAAAGCAAAGTAACAGCCACACTTTGAGAGGTGGCTGTACTGAGAGCAGGCAGTCGATCAGAGGAGCTTTTTCATTGCCTCGGCCTAGACTGCTGCAAACCTGCGCAGCCAGCAGCCTTCACACTGGCCCCTACTAACAAAAGGCCCAGGGATGACATTCTAAAAGGGAAGAGGTCCCTCACCTGATCCATGTACCAGCCCTTTGTGGCAAATTCAGAGCTGAGGTGAGGCTTAAAACGAAAACTCCCCGGCTCGCCACCACGGCATGCCCACTCCTAACCAATTAGCAGAGTCTACAGAACAGTGGTGGCGAACCTATGGCATGGGTGCCAGAGGTGGCACTCAGAGCCCTCTCTGTGGGCAAATGTGCCATTGCCCCAGCCAGGCCCAGACCATCATTAAAGTGTCGAATTCTCTGCCAAATAATTTTAAGTAAATGAAAGCATTTGGGATTGCTTTCCT